CTTCGTCTTCGGACTGGGACCACATGTCAAAATAACCTCTGAAAAACTTGAATGAAATTTGAAGAAATACCGTGTCAACATCTGTGTATAGAATATTTATTGACTCCTTTAAAGGTTGAGAATATAGACTGGACGTGCCGAGGCCATTTGTCTGTAACTAATACTGTTTCAAACAAGTGGAGATGAAATGTTTAAAATCCAGATCCGGATAATTACTACTAAAGGTCTTGAATATTTTCTTTTGATTTTGCGAAAACGAGGTCATCCTCAGCTATTACAATCACATTAACTGTTAGATCCAGTTTTCGAAAATACAACAACCATTTTAAAAAAAGTCAAAGAAAACTTTATTAACAGTAAGAAAAATTGTCTGTTAGTGAATTTTTTAACAAAAGTGAAATTTGAAAATATATAGTAAACTATGAAAAATAATACAAAAAAGTACTATCTGAAAAAAAGAAATCAGATATCAGTAATACGATGGAAGTTAAATATATCGCACGGTAACTTTGAGTGAAACTTTGTAAGGTGTGATCCTACAGAAGCATTGATCATAAAACTACATGAAAATTGCAATCGGTTTGATTGAGTTAGAAAACGATGGATAATAAAATAAATCAACATCCCTCAGGCCCTTAGCACTTGCTTGAGCGGAACTCAATTATCAACATTTTAAAGTGGTGTTTTTCCAAACAAATCTTTGATTTTTGTAAAAGAATTGTCACAAAATATTCTCTAGTTGATGGTACTTTCTATTCAAATAGGCTCTTTGTTTCTGGTATTCAGAAAAGGTTTTATTTGTTCTTTTTTTATAGCATATTATTAAAGGGACCTAGACTTCGTGACGTATAATTGTTTGACAAAAGGATGATCATAAATTAGATTTAGAACTAGCAGTATTTCATCAAGAACTGTTGTCACGTTGATTGTTTGCCGATCTTACTGTGTCCAATGATATTTTACTTTCTTGTAACTTGGAAATCACGAGTACAATCTTTTGAATCGTCTTTCTTTAAACATTCGAAAACTTTTTTTGTCATTATCATTGAACTGTTTTAACCTATTCATGATTTTTGAATTCTTCAACGTGTGTTTCTTCCGTGCATGACCATGTGGGTGAGATTCAATTGGATGAATACCCTGGTATTCACACAAATGAATGCAGATATATGAAATAGAACATAATTACAGTTTGTATTTTTCATACCATTTAGATATTTAATCAGTGCCATAAGGTTAAATACTTGTTTACACCGTCAATACCACGTGTGAAATAACTCTTTCCAGACGGGAGGTAATTCATTGTGTACTTGTTAAAAGAACACTCGCGTAGTTACTTCCCGTAAATTTTGAAAATCAAGACATGGCAATAAGCATTCCAAAAAAAAATATATGGGCATTTTTCTCTTTATCACGTTTTCACCACTGTTTTACTTCGTACAAAGAAATAGTATTTCATTTTCTAAATTTAAAAGTTTAAAACCCACATACAAAACCCCAGCCCCCACAGTTTAGGGTCATTTTGTTCCAAAATTTGATATCAAAAGGTATTAAAATTTTTTATTTTTTGTTCGTTTAGAGCAGGCCCCGGTTTACGGGTTTAAAAGTTCAAATCTTTAAAATTTTATTTTCGCCACAATTTAAAATATAATCCCCTGTATTTATATGTAGATTTGGGTTTCAAAGTCACGCCCCGTAATTTTAAAGTTTTTAGGGGAATTTTGGCCGACCGATATTTTTAAAAATTATTTTTCCCCCATCCTCAGTTTTAAAATTAAGCAACCCGTTAAATTTTTTGTGCATGGGCAAAAAGGAAATAAAAACAGTTGTTGCTGCTTGTTGAACAATGCCAAGCACTTAAGCATGTGAGTAACGGGTACCTTTAGTCTCATGCAAACATTATTTCACAACAGGCCGTAGCTGAAAACGTTATTTCGAATGAAGAATTTACAATTTAAAAAGTTCTGTTATACATGTTACATCTCTTTTTACAAATATTTCTATTTTCTTTTTATTCATTTTACCTGTTTTGTAATAGATATACCATTGCTGCGTTGACGATTTCTGGGTTTGCCTAATTTATACCATAATCACGTGACCTTTCTTATGCCTTGACCTCACGAGACGAAGTAGAGTGAGGTTGCATAAGAAAGGTCACGTGATTATGGTATAATTTACGCAAACCCAGAAATCGCCAACGCACCAATGGTGTATCTGTTTTAACCTATAGCTCCGCCCAGAAACACTTACTCCTTCGATCTTAATTTGCATAGCAGAAATGACGTAAAATGAGCTGTCAATCAAAATAACATGACGCTACTGTTTTAACCTATTACTCCGCCCAGAAAAACTGAAAATTATACTATAGTCTGGGTATGGTATAATTTACGGTTATTGGAAATTATACTTGGAAGAATTTTACATAAGAAGCGCTGAAGAGCTTTAGGTTAACTACACATACCTAGATAATTACCTTGGTCGTGATACAGTATATCTGAAAGATGAATTCAGACCAAAGATCAGTATCAGCACTTACCTTCCTTTAAAACAATTGTATCAATTGTCTACATGCATCTTTCAAAAATAGTTTTGACACTTGTTGATTGTTTTTAAAGGACAAATATATCCAAAAGATTACATAAATAAAAACATCTTAAGGTACTCTATCAATTTGCAAACACATTTTGTTAAAACTAGCAATATTTTCTTTTGAGAGGAAGAATCACGTATAAATGAGAGATAATACAAAAAAGTGGATACGTGATAAGTTGATACCGACCTCTTGATTCTGTTTATATCTTGTTTGTTAGATTTAATCTCTATGTATTGTTATGGTTTTAAACATGTTATCAGCAAGCATACAAGTTTATTTACTTTGCGTGACTTTGACCTTAACCCAAAGAAACCATGTATATATCCAGATATTTAGAGAAGATCTTATAAATTAAAGATAAATATCTAAGACATTGACCTCTTCCAAGGTGGGTTTTACTGTAACATACTGCAAGTTATGTATTTTTACTGAAAGTTATGTCCACATTATCTCTCAATATGCGATTACAGGATTTTCCGCCAAGCTGATGACCACTTTATTCAGTTGTTTTTAAGATATAAGGCAAAAAATAATTATCATTGTTGATCTTTTATTGCACATTAAAATACATTTCAAGGTTGTGTCCAACATGTTAAGCATGAGTATGGCAGGCTGTTAACAAGGGAGTCAAAACACCATGATTTTAAATGAAATTATTGTGTTCTGGCCGATTTGTGCCTGGAGAGAGTGATCCTCGGAATCATTAATCACCAGAAAATTGCATGAAAATTGCAGAGTCTGTACATGAGGGATAATGAAAATGTGAAACATCCCTGATGTACTTTAGCACCGACTTCAGCGATAACATAAAAACTTATTCTTTAAGCACAATACATGTTTATCATGTTTCACTAAAGCAAATTACAAAGAATTTAAAATAGACCGTTATGATGACCGTTTGATGTCTATAGGAAATGACATTAAATGTAGGTGTTGTAAAATGAGTATCGCTGAAATTGCATTGAAATATGTTGGTATTTTGATGATATGTCTTCCATACTTCTTTGACTTTGATTTGCACAAAACTTAATCTTTCAAACTTGAAATATTTTCTAAATAAACAGTAATAAATCATTGATGCAGTAAATCGTTTCATTCCATGTTTGACATAAATTCGTATCCAAATCAAATAATAAAAGTAATGTGCCGATGAAATACGTGGAAAACAAAATGAAACAAAAACATTCAGATTTTTCAACTCTAAGACTGTTTATAAGCTTTATATCCTGATTACAAAAGTTTTTTAATGTTAAGACTTTGGTAGAAGAATACTGTTGAAAGAAAAAAGGTTCATAACAGGAAAAAAACTTATTTACAAAGTTTAGACAAAGATAAACGCCTTAAATATGTTTATTCATGTTAACAACCCATTTCTTAAGCATTATCTAGATCATGATCATTAAAACTCAAAACTACTAAAAGAATTTAGACTAAAGAACAGTATTATCAGTTGACTTTTAACTTTAAAGCTATTGTATACATTATTCCCATACGTTTTTCAACAGTAATATATCTTCCTTCTGCATTGTCTTTACTGACAAATATATTCACAAATGACACAGATTGAAACTTCTTAAGATATTTCCATCCATATAAAATAGAGAAAAATGGACTCCCTATGGAACGCCAAAACGACAAAATTGTAAATGTTGCAGACTTGGTTTGAATGAGCCTTTTCATGGACGACACAAGTGTCCAAACTTGGATAGGATGTACAATATTATATGATTTATAATATTAAGGAGTTTTGACAAATTATGTTTCCATAATTTTTTTATTGTGAACCAATTATAAAGGTGCAACTGACGAACGTCATCATTTGTATTAATATCTTTGCACTCTACAAAACCTTTTGCAAATTTACTGACATCTTTTCAATCTGTAAGAAGTAAAAATGTTATTTAATATTAAAAAGAAATCTGTCTTTAGATAAAAGTTTAATAATAATAACTTTTTAGATACTGTATTTTGGAAACGTTTGTGGATACAAGTTCGCGCTTTCGTGCAATCATAGGCATGTTTATAAGATTATCAACCATTTTAATATACGAGAAAAATGAAAGTACATACGCACCATGTTTGAGTATACTATGTAAATTATACTAAGGAAATATCCCCTGTTTTAGTTAACAATCTTTTTCTATGTCGTCGCCTTCGTGCGATAGCATGTAAACTCCTATTAGATTAAGAAAGACTTAACCCGCTAGTGCACTAAGGTAACGAATTGTGGCAACCTGTTAATTTAACCACACCTTTACTGAAAGAGACCAAATATATTTTTATATACATTGAACAGCATTTAACATAATTACAATACTTTACAATGTGAACAGAAATTATTACATTAAGGCGCTTCCATACGACAATATATACGTATTTTATATTCATGTAAAACCAAGGCCGACATTATACACCCCAAGCGTTTGCAAGGAAAGGTTTAACATAATTTGTTTTGATTTCAATTCCAATAGAAAATGTTTTCAATAAAAACTGTTCAAGGATTTTATCTTTGGGTTTTATTTATAATTTCTCTGAGTGAAAATTCAGTGGGTGTTCTTTATGATATCAAGCCTGTTGGCCACGCTTCAAGTTTGGACTATGAAAATACCTTGATGCAGATTTTGTTGGAAGTGAAGACAGAAGTGTCATTGCTGACGAAAGAAATAAAGGAACTTAAGGAGACAAAAATGGGTAAGTACAAACTCATTTCATGTGCCCTTCCAATTATTAGTCCCGTTCTTTGTTAAGACAAGAATATGTCCATCCGAAAAGCACATTTGAAACAGAAAACTAAAGGAAAGTTTAAACACTATCATACTTGCTAATGTGACTTTCCAACATGCACTTACACTAAATATTTAGATGTATGTAATAGGTAATCAACTTAACACACAGGTAAACAGAGTACTGTTGAAAGTGAATAAGGAGATCATATTAGGAATGTAAAATAGATATTTTCCATTTAACATTACGTAAACCATAACCATAACATGCACAAACGTTAACATAACTTGTGGTGTTAGCAATCCAAAAGCACTAATTTTCATATCAGCGAACATTTTAATTATTTTGCGCCATTGAATGTACCTGAACAAACCATGACATTTTGCTCATTATTAAAATGTAAATAAAATTCATTTTGCAGTTCCGATAGTTGAACGAAGAGCTATGTCCCTTTTCCATTTTAAATTCCGAATATTAGTAATGGTTTACGGATTGTTTTGTGTATGTCAATAATTTCTCATCACATATCAATGAAATACGCTTTAAACTTGAAGGAATTATACATATACGCCACTAATGAATTCCTTAAATAAATGTATGAGGCAATAACACTCATAATTGTCCTCCATAATACACTCTGATTTTCCTTTAAGGGATTCTGTTTCAGAATATGTTTTTCAAAATGTATCAAGGGAATCCCTTCAAATGAGTACTTATCAGTATAGTACTTAGGCAATAGAAAATAAATTCCTAGATTCTCATCCCCGCCCGCCCGTCAAAAATTGCTCCGCCCGAACGATTTTTATTTTCAAAAAAAAAAAAAAAAGAAAGAAAGAGAAAGAATTAATTTTTTTGCTTGATTACTGTGTACGGATGCCGAGTATTTAAAGTATATAAGTGTATCATCATCTGTGTGGCCGACAGTCCGTCAATCTCGGTCCTGGCTGAATAAAGACCGAGATAAAATTTCATACCATGAAAAATCCTCGCGTCCAAATAAATTTCTAAGAGCTAAAATAGCCTGCTTTGATAGTTAAAATGAAATGTGTTAAAGTATTTTAACTATATTGAAGTTTGAACCACAAAAGACCAATTTTGGACAAGTCAAATAGTCAGATAAACAGCAGTTCATAACAGCATCGGTAAATTTTGCCGTAAATTACAAATTTTGAAGTTTTGTTTTACAATGCCTTTTGAAATAGCAGCTGAAGAACAATTTAAAAATACTCATAAAATAATTAATCTGATAAAATTAATATCAACAACAACTAGCATTGTGAATGGTTATGCAGGAAACAGACATTTTTTCGTTTGTCACATATTTTCGCGATGCCGATTTTTATAATACAAAAAGAAGTCACCAAAAGGAAGCCTTGTATTGATAAAATTTGTCCAAAAACACTTAAAATATAGTTTATTTATTAAATTTACTTACTGTTTTGTTTACATTAGTTTAGAATGAGACATTTGCCAGTGTGTGTTGTACAATGGATATTTTCCTAAGGGAGGGGGTGTGTGGGATCACAAATATATTGTACAAGCTTCATGATGGAATTAATCAAGAAGAAACAGCAAAATTGGGAGTTTCAAGATTTTGAAAATCCTAGTGAGGACCATGATTATTTCTACCGTCCACATTTTATTTTGTTTCTTCATTGAAAGCCAAACTAAGAAAAGCCGTCATTTTGACATTCCCCCAGGTTTTTATCATATAATACTAGAAATGTCACGGCCTGAAATAATCATCTGAACCAAAAATAAATAAAAGGGTGCCGGTCCTTGTGGCCTTAAAAATGAATTTCGCTTATAATCTTCATGGTCAGCGTGCTGCTTGATTTTGTATGTAATCTTTAGAATAAATATATTCATAAATAAGATAGCTTTTTAATATAATAGGTAAATCTCTGTACTTTCTTTGCCAAATTTTCAATAGCTTAGATGTTATTTTTGCAATGTGATATATAAATAGGATTGTCTTTTTGTGTAGCTTCATTGATTGAATAAATTAATTTACTCATGTTAAAGCACTTTTGATCGGCATTGGCATAGAACACCTTTATTCAACTCTTATAAAATTAAGATGTCTTATTATGTAACAATACATGTAGATCTGTATATTTTTTATTTTGTCAAAACATCAATTGGTTTGATGTAAAATGTTCAATAAAACAGCAAGATCACAATCAAGATAATTATTATCATGTTGCTTCCATTCTCAATCTGAATCTATATATATCTTACATCCACATAATGTTAGAACCTATTATATAGAACAAAGTCCCAAATATTGACATCTTTGTGTGTCGTTCCAGACCCAGAATGGAAAATAAAAATTAAAATCCACCCACCCGCCCCATTTTTTCCCAAAATTTGGATGAGAATCTAGTTATTTATTTTCTATTGCCTTATCAGTCAACAAAATGAGAACCTGATTAGAAAAGATGATTTACATTACTGTTATGTACCCTTTTACAAATTACAAACATTCACAAAGCGAATTAAGTTTTCATTATAGTCGGAAAGATGATGCAAAGGAAACGATGTTGTTTCTTGGAAGGCTATGGTAATATAATAACGACATCAATCTATTGTCAAACCATATTTTCCCGTCACCTGACAAATATTTCTAATACTTTGACATTGAACGAATAAACAGTATATTTGTGATTTGTTTTGCACCAAGCGCTGCTATATCGATACCTTTGTTAAAACATGCATCAATTAAAAATATTTTCCCCATGAATTCAATAAATTTGATAACTTACTTTTCCTGACACTATAGAGGGACTATCCTGTTTTAATTGATAATTTAAGAGTAGTTTCAAAATAATGTGAATCATATTCTGATTTAAAATGTAGTTATTCACCTGTTAGTAAATAAAGTCCTTCATTTTTGTTATGATATAAAATTCTAGTTTTATTTTAAATGTGTAATGTCATATCATTTTCCATTTTTGTTAGATGAAAACGGAACAAACAACAGCGTTTCTACAACAAATATTGTGAAGACTTTGCTTGAATTAAAGAATGGTATGGCAGCACAGGCAAACGAAATTGATGAACTTAAACGCAACGGTATGTAAACAGCAAAGTAATGATAAATGCAACGTTATCAAACATGATAATTATAAATAATGGAACATATCAAACAGTAAAAAGATGAATAATTGAACATAAGAAATTAAAACTCATTTTATTATGTTTATTTGAAATGTAAGCGGCAGATTTTTGTGTTTTTTTTTTATTGTTTTTTAGTGCAATAATGCATGCAATATCATATTCATGATACAAACAAGAAACAAGACAAATACATGTAAAATCTTTATTATGTTTCATTTGATTAAAATTTTTCTTTTGTTTTTCTTTTTAAAAATGTATTGCATGTCAAAATGGAAAATGTTGATGTTGAATGAAAAAATATCGTACATTTTTTAGTATTTTTCAGAACTGAGAATAAAATATATGCAATATTATGTCCTGACTGTAATGATATATCTAATATACTGGTCGTAATGAAAATTCTTTTTTTCTTCTAATTCTCTATGTTTTATTCTGAGACTTAGAGGCTGTATCAATTATGTTGATACTTAAACACAACCGTGACTCTTAATAAGATAATGTTACGTGAGAATTACTAAAATGCTAGTCCGTAGGTCATAAATAGAATGACTTGGTAAATATGTCTATAGAAGAAACTCTGAATAAAATAAAAAATGTTTATCAAAAAGTGATGAGAAATGTATATGAGATTACATTTCTGTTTAAATAATTATGATTGTTGAATGCTTATGTTCAATGAACATTCTTTATTTTTTAAATTGTAGTTTAAAATTATTTTGTTTCTGTGAACAGTGAGAAAATAAAAACAATAAAAGAATGCCTATTTCAGACCATAAAATAGTAGCATTTATGGCACAGCTGTCTAAACACATGGTGAATCCACCACAACACACGGTCGTTCTATTTGATGCGGTTTTAACAAATGTTGGGGGTGCTTACAAACCGAGTTCTGGAGTTTTCCTGGCACCTGTAAACGGAACATACACCATACATCTTGTTGCAAGTTCAACACCAAAGAAAACATCTGAATGTGTTAGTTCTATTTATGTTATTAAAATCTTGTGACAAACAAACCTACTCACATTCAAATATAATAATTTCGTAACATAAATTTTAGCTGAATTGTGCTTCCGATGTTATTTAAGGTATAAGATTTGTTCCCGAATTTTAATCACACTCATAAAGTAATGTTTGTTTGTTGTTGTTTGGTTTGCGTTTTTTTTTACCATGTTTCGGAAAATCCATATTACGTTCAATATTTGACGTTCTCTTCTTCCAGCTTCACTTGTACATCATGCACAACATGCTGAAAGTTGGTTACATTTTCTTGGACAGCAATTCTGACCATTCTTTAATTAGATCAACGTCTATTGTCATACAACTACGTGCCGGGGACACCGTGTTTGTTAAAATTGGAAACTCCAACCCGAGAGGAACGCTCTACGGTTCCAACTTTCATACAGTCTTCAGTGGTTTTCTGATCAATTGAGTTTTCTTTAAAAGTAAACTCTCTAAAAATATTGTCAAATTAAAATTCATTTATATTTCCTTCTTTTGTTACAATACTATAATTAAATTGTATTTTCACCAGTTCATATTGTTAACATACCATTTTCACTAAACCATCCGACTTTTTTATACAAGAATCACCGGATGATATACTGGTCTAACAAACATCTCTGCTTTATATCAATTTTTCTTGGCTGATTAGAAATACTCCCTTGAAAAAAACATATAAAAGTGCATGCACACTGATTTAAAACTGATTTTTAAATGATATAAAACAAAATGTATCTTTGACTGTATAGAATTTATAATTACGTACAAAATTCATGAAAATAATTTAAAATAATCCAGTATTTTCACAATTTAACAATGTTTACATTTCTTTTGCACATTATGATGAA